CAAAATTTAAATTCTTCAGAAGCTATTTTGGTTACACAGATAAGCCCCAAATACAGAGGAACAACAGTCTAAGTTGAAGGAGCAAACTAACTCAGCCACTATCCTCTCACAGGGAAAGCTTTCTTCAGTAAGTTCCAACTTCACTGAAAACAATAACAATAATAATGATGATAATGATAATGATGATGATGATGATGGTGGTGGTGGTAAAGCCAATCCATCATTGATGAAGTATATACTGCGAGTCAACTTCTGTTGTGTGCACTTTTCATGTATGAACTCATTTAATCTTTAAACTCACTGAAGAAAATATTGTATTTCCATTTTACAGATGAGAAAACTGAGGTCTGGAGGAAGATTTGACTTACCCCAAATCATACAACTAGTTCAAAATGTTTAAAACTTAGAATCCTGAACTCAATCCCAGAGATTTCAACTGAGTTACTCTCAATGACTGCAAGAATATGGTTTTTTAAAATCAACCTTTAACTGGATGGTTATTTATGGTTTATAATGGATGGCATATTGGTGATAAGTTAAATCATGGTAGAGTTAGGTGGTTATAAGTAACTGTTACTAGAAATCTTGAATGCATGCTAGAATCTGTGACACCCAATAATGTCGGCTCTTGACTCCTTGACATTATTAGTCTCAGCCATCCAGTCACTGTTCCAGATGACCAGCAAACCACTGGGTATAAGCCAGACCCTTGCTGGTTGGGCTAAATTCCAAGCTTGCTCATCCATCTATTTTAAGAGAGTATATGGCCAATAGATTAAGCGGTTGGCAATTTGAAAATGAATGTAATCGGATGTGACCCAGTAACAGAACCAATTACTTGCCTACTTTGCCATTTTCCTTCTCTGAAGAGCTACTGGCTCCATGTGGCAACTGGGTAATTACTACAGACACTTAACTCCTTGCACGTGGACCTGCTACTCACTTGCATGGTCGTTTAAGACATAAACTACTTCCACATAGATATAAAAGTTATTATGCTTCAGTATTGTTTATAAAGATAACAGGGTGTGGAACAACGACTACTATAATCATAACTCCCTTATATTTATTTAAGCACTTTACATTATAACACACATTTACCTATATAATGCCTCTTGATATTCACAACAATTCAGTCATGCTTAGGATTGTTCCCATTTTACAGCTGAAGACACTGAGGCTCAAATAATTTAGGATTGTTTAAGGTCAAGTAAGCTCATTCAAAATAAACTTCTTTATGGAACATTTGTTGCCCTTGCCAGCACAGGAAATAGATGATGTTGGTAGTGTATATAAGCATACAAATCACTACCATGAGCATGAAGACTATTTAAGACTAATCAACATTAATGCATCGTTAATGATTATTTAAATAATATTAAAATAATATTAAAGTATTTCTAGTATACAATTGCCTAGAAGTTTATGGACTAAGAATGGTTATTTTACTACCTAAATATCTGTTGACCTTTGGCAAAGCGGATTACACAAGGGGCTGTCCACCTCAGTTCATGCTTCTAGAATCAAAATGTGATTAATTCAGACTCTAATTTCCAAGATAGATTTCATTGGGTTTGGGGTAGAAACAACCTTAAAGTTAAAAGAGGGATGGGTGCTTCCTAACACATAACCTTTCCAAGTCTATGTCCCTATCTGTGAGATGGGGATACAAAATCCTGCCTTCCTCATCCTCCTACAATGATTGCGAGGATCAATGAGAAAATAATTCAAAAAAAAAAACCTTCTGCAAATCATGGCAAACCACACAGGGACGCTATTTCTAAACTTGGACAATGATCATTTTCCTGCTTTTAGAACTGACGTCTTTTACATTTCAAGAAATCATAAAAAAAAAAAAAGGGCAGAATGAGTCTTATAAAAACCAAAAAAAGCATACTGAGTCCTGGCTGTCCTTTTGAGATGGATGCTGATGTCAGCTCAATCAAGAAATTATTAACCTCCATTTGCTTACTTAAAATACACTGCATTGGCTGATTAAATATGCTGAATATTTTCTCCAAGAAACACTGCATATCACGGAGAAACCTTTCTGTTTCAGTTCCACATTGCAAACGCATCATTCAGAACTCTTTAAAAATCAATACTAAAAAATTATTTCAATGTACATAAACAAGTTAATGGAGAGAGTGAAAACAAAGCAAATTTCTTAATGAGAGGGCCCTGTCACCCCCTGTAGGTGCCAACGGTAAAGGCTGGTTTCTGGTACCTCCAGAGGAGAGGGCTGCTGCTCTTCTGCTAATGAATGACTAACTTAGGCCAGGGGGAAATGACATCACCAGAGTGGAAAACCGATCTGCATTGGGAAACTTTCTACCTGCTTTACATTTGTCATAATTATTTTGCACAATGCAGCCTGTATTTGCATAATTTTGAGGCGTGTCATTATCTCAATTGAAAATTGTTTTAATATGGCTGAATAATTCACAATGACATCAGCCAAAGTCCTAATGAAATATACAAGTATAATCATACAGCTAATTACCAGCCGTGTTAGCATTAAAAAACAAATCATGCATAATATTAGACGATGTATATGCAGCTGAGGATTATAAATAGAGCCATCTCCCTCCCCCAAGCCCCTGGAGTTTACTTTTAAATGGCAAGATTAATTTTCCCAGGTATGGCTCATGGCAGTGACGAAATGTACAGATCGTTACAATGGTTCACTTCCAATTCCCCGTAATGAACAATTAAAAAGAGATCGTGTATTTAAAAATATATCTATGCACTGTTCATAGTTCTAGCAGATACAATCTCCGGCGAACATAGCTTTTATTCTTAAATCAGAATGGGACCAACAAAAATTAAACTGGACCCAGTGGGGGTCAACACGGGGTCTGTAGGGGAAAAAAAAACCATATTCCCATTTCAATTTTCCAAAAAAAAAAGTGACCACAAAATATCCCATAAAATACTGAATAATTTCCTCCTGGGTTTAGTCAGAAGTCTATTAGGCACCAGCTCTTTTCTGGATATTTAATCCTTCCCTTTTCCAGATCACAGGCCATGTTGAAGTAATAAATTTGAAAAGCAAATAATAAGAAATCGGGAGGAGGAGGGGAAGGTGGGGGGGGGGAGGAAGACAGCTGCGCAGGAAAGTTGGGTCGGGGGAGGGGGCCCAGCGAGACCTTGGGAAGGGGAAAGAGCTCAACCTGTTGGTAGGCTGCAGGATTTTTCACAGTATTTCCAAACAACACCTTTGTACAATCGCAGGCGGTCGTTGGGAAATATGAATGTTTAAAACCCAAAGCTGCCCGGTGAGGGAGGGAGCGGGAGGTGGAGAGGGGGGAAGCAGGGAGGGAGGGAGGGAGGGAGGAGGGGGAGAGGGCGGGGGAGGGGTGTGTGCGGGGGAGGTGGGAGGGGCTTATTTCCGAAAAGGCAGATTCGAGGGCGAGCATTTTTGACGAACTCCAGTAATTAACAGGCAGAAACCTGACGGGTAATAGGATCCCGGGGAGCGGGAGTGAGCTGGCGGAGGCCAAAAGTGCCCTCAACTCCACCAGATCCAGAAATGCTGCAAAGACTGGCAGCTCCTAGCACCAGGATGAGTTCAAGGGGGGTGGGGTGGGGTGGGGGGGTGATCATTCATTTAACAAAAAGATCCTCAGACCTACCTCGAAAGCTCGCGAGCCTGGCACCGAGCTAGCTGCCCTCAAAAAGTCTGAGTTTGGTTCCCCGGCTCTCGCCTTGGCAACACAAAAGCCTAACCAGGCAGCGGGGCGCCCTCCCTCTTCCGCTGCGCCCTGGGCACCGACTCCCCAAAATAGTCCGTCCCCCCCAGCCCCTACCCTCCACCTCTCAACCACCATCACCCACAGTGGGTACCACGGCGCTGAGGTCGGACGGCTGACATGGGGTACGCGCAGAACTGAGGGTCACACAAGAGACCGACACAGCCCGAGGGGAGGAGGCTGCCCGGGAGCCCGGTGACAGCGGGCTCACCTCCGCCGTCCTCCCCGGGAGCGCGGCGAGCGCCCCCGCGGCCGCCCAGAAACGTGCCGGGAGGCTGGGTCCCTCCCCGCCCTCCCCCGGAGCGCAGTCTGGGCACCCGGGACCCGGACCCGCAGGGCAGTGGGCGAGGGAGCTCACACACACCCCTCGGCCCTCCCTCCGTGTCCCTTACTCCCCACCCCGTCCCACACACCCTTAAAAAAAAGATCGCGCCGGGAGACGTCCACTTTGCGTGGAGTAATTGAAAACTAGAACATCAAATGGCTTGGTGGGGCGGGGAGGGGGGGGGACGGGAAGGAGGGGGAGTGGGCGAGAGATAGTTGTTAATGCTTAACGTGTTTGTGCCGGTTACACGACCGCTTTGAAATCCGCCCGGGCAGATCTGCAAGTTATTTGAATGTATTATTCCAGTACCTGTCATTTATCACTTTATTCAACACGTCTTTGCCAACTCAATAGCTTTTGATCTCATTCTGCCTCCATTTCGTAATTTCCGCCCTCTTTAAACATATCAAATACTTACTTTAAAAAAAAAACGTGAACAATATCGAAACCCACCGAAAGAAAACCTAGCCAGCCCCGACCAAGCCAGACATGAAGGTGAATTTTCAAAAGGCAAAAAAATCACATACACACACACACACACACACACACACACACACACACACACACATATAGCATGTGATGTTCAAGCAGCAGTAAGAGACCGATCACACGCGCGCGCGCGCGCGCACACACACACACACACACACACACCCTTGAACAAAATCCTTCTCGAACAAGTTATCTGATCTTGACTAAAATCAGTTGGATCCTCTTTGTAAAGCTGACAGCCAAACTCTGACAATGGCAAAATACTCGAGCCCCAGCTAGTGGCGCTACCCCTTTAAAAAAAAAAAAAAAGGAGTCGATCCAGCTCGCCTGCAGAAGTGAATACAGTATTTTCAAGCTTGCCCAGTAATAAGCATTACTAGGGGAGAAAAATAAGAAGAAGAAAGAAAGAAGAAAGGGAGAGACCGGTTTACCACCTCGCCATGGTCGCTATTTCTGCCCTGGGGAGTGTCTTCGGGAAGGAAATAAAGTTTAGAGCTGGATAAAAGTTGCCGGCTGGTCCGTTCTTCCCATAACAGCTGGAGCTCCGCGATGCAAATCGGATCCTTTGGCGTACATCTTACAAAGAAAAAGTCGCCAAGGGACAAAATTCTTGGTCTGCCTTCAAGGTGGAATTGAAAAGCCTTGTAGAAAATGTAAGGTCCGTGCAAGCCACACGGTGAGCCGACCCACTGCAGGGGGGGAAAAAGGCACCAAATAAATAATGTAGCCAGGAGAATACAAACATCTCTTCCCAGACAGATTTACACACAGACATCCACACTCAATGCAGACGAACCCACAGATATATAACACAGGGTGGGTGGGTGGGTGTGGGGGGGGATCGTAAGAGCTCACAACATTTCTGCCTCCCTTAAAATAAAATAAAATAATATTTAAAAACAAACCCACTCCGGGTTCCCCTTCCCAGACCTCCCCCACCCCACCTCCCCTCCAGAGGCGGCAAAATTACATTATGTATGTATGATCAGTGCAAGGGTTTTTTTTTTAAACAATAAAAATTATTTGGGGGGGATGTAGAGGGCAAAAGTTTGGTGAAAAGTTTGTGGGGGGTGTGGGTGGGTGTAAAGGTGTGGGTGAGTTGGGGGGGGCTGGGGGGCGCGGGGGGGTGCTGGGAGCGGAGGAGCGGAGGAGAGCGAAATACCTGGAGTGAGTTGGGCTCCATCTCGACGTTCTGAATTGATTGAACTCAACATTCTCTCCAAACTTGTTGGCTTGAATGGATTGCATCAGGTCCTGGCAGGGAAAAACATTCTCTGCTTTCAGCAAGCGTAAGGTCTCAATATAAAACTGAGCTCTTGACTCGCTTTCGGCACGAAAATGATTGAAAATATGTCCTAATATTTCTCTGACGACTCAATTTTTAGCTCCTGTCAAAACTAGGTGGGTTTCTTTCCAAAGAAGGGTTGATCAAATTCATAATCGGGAGAAAGGCTCCGTCCGATCTCGGCGGGAAGCGAATGGATCAAGGCATAAAACAGACAAGAAGACCTATAAAAAATAAAATCCAACATAAAACTGTCTAAACATAAGATCTCTTTCCTTCTAGCTGCCCCTGTCTAACAGTATCGTCTGAGGAGATTTTTGGAGGAGCCTATGGCTAGCGAGCTCCGCTGTGTATCTGACAGGACCTGCTTGTATATGTCTAATATAAAGAACATTTCCTGCAGAGATTCCGGGGCGCTGCTCCTCTTTCCAATGCTCCTTAGCAGATTTGCTGTTATTAGACATGTAGATTTGTTTGATAGTCAAATTACGCTTCCTCACTGCCATGTTTTCGAGAACTAATCTGTTAAATTATCTTTTGATGCCTATTTACATGGAAGGGAAAAGTGGGTTATCGATTATATAAACATATAAATATTAATGCATTTGTTCGCTTCGCAAAAAATACTCAGCAAAAAAAAAGAACAGAAAGACAAGTGAGCAGTGCACACACATCTCAGGATTTTGCAAACAATATTGAACGGACAGTGACTGCATTTAGGGACTGGAACAATAAACGATGCATGATAAATCAATAAATTCGAGCCGCGAGTCTGCTCGGAATATGAATTCAGGCTCCCGGTTCTGCGTGTGCATTCTTTAATTTTGAAGTATATACACTAGTACGTGTTTACAATGCTGATGGACGCCAAGGGCGCTCTCAAATGATAATGTGTTTATATAACCCAGAGCTACAGGAATAATATACCGACTTCTACCCCACCCCCACCCCCCACCCCGGCCAAAAAAGGGAGGGGGAGCTTCCTCAATAATAGTTTGAAAAAAAATCCATTTGCAAACTAGTTAAATACAACCAGAAATTAAGCTGTTGAAAACCGGGGGCACGAACCGTAAGACAATAAAGGTTTTAAATGTGTATATTTATTGTTCTGGAGCCCTGGAGCATTGCGAGGTTTGCGTGCACGGCTATTATGCAAACACAGAGAAACTTAAGAGCGACAGAACAAGGAACAGGCAGAGACTGCAAAGCTCTCTCTCTCTCTCTCTCTCTCTCTCTCTCTCTCTCTCTCGCTCCGACCCAGCTGCCGGTCCTCCGCCAGGCTAGATTGCATTTTCGCAGTGTTGATGTAAAATGGTGTACTCGCTTCCCCCACGTTCCCCCACCCCTTCCCCGCTCTCCTCCCACTCTACCAGCACACCCCCACCCCGCGCGATTTTTATTATATTGGCACCAATCTTTCCAAAGTGGGTCTGGCATGCTAAAAAAGTAAACATGTACTATATGGGGAATAAGGTCTGTATAGTATGACAGTTGAAACTTGATCTGTGATAAAATTACAGGATGTTGAAATTACTAGTAAGCTATTTTTAACGCTTTCGCAACGTTTCACCTCTAGTCACAGCATCTAGTTGAAACAGGATTACTTTAATGAAAATTATATTCACATGGCTGAAGTTAATACACCCGGAAAAGCACAAATGTTTCAAAATCAGTGACTTGAGGTGGAAAGACCCTCTCTGTGTGTGTATTTATGCTTTTTTCATAATGTCTGTCCGCTGCAGTAAGAATTAGGGCATTTAACATTATCTAAACCACATTTTTGATTCAGAACATGGGGAAGTCATAAAAGGCAGGATCTATCTCATTTCTATACACAGAGATAAACGAAAGAAAATGGCAGATCCTTCAATTACAATAAGTAATAAAAACCCATGCCAAAGAGAAGGTATTCTGAAAGCTGTGGAAAACTATTTTAATAATTTAAAGTACCATCATAACTCTGCTCCATGAAGGAGGACAATGTAACAATTCACAGCCTCCCATCTTTTGCATTAGCCAAATTATGGCTTGCACATCACTCTTTAATTATCTTCCTTGAAATTTCATCTGATCTTCCTATTTTATAAACATGGGTTACAAAGAGAAATTACAGCTCTCCTTTTAACTTTATGATGCACACTGCAGACGTTTGATTAGAATAACCCATTTTGTTCATTTTTTAACATATGAATGGGCTTGGCTGAAGGACATTTTACATATTTTCTTTTAAATCCATGAGATACGCCTCAGGCTTCTGTTACTCTCTGTACTGTTAGTGTAAATACATACATTCAGTTCAAGAAATCCTATATTAAAAAACTTGAGTTGCAGTATTTTGACAAGATCTTATTTGAGATCGACTGAGTCAGTTTCCTGTATGACCAACGCAGCAGCATTTATGCAGGAAACCTCAACAGAATGCCTGAGGGTATCCCTCCATTATATATTAAATCTCTCTCTTTAAAAATACACAGCTCTTAACAGCATTTAAGCAACTTCTGCTGCTTTTTGGTGCTGTAAGTTGTGTCTGTAACCGCCTTCATCTAATTAGAAATCTTTTTCCATGTCTCTCTAAGATAGGTACTGCACCAGGCTGCCTGATCTCTTCGATAAGGGACCTAGGTCTGAATATTTTTTTGAATAAATACATATTAGTTATCAGATGAATGTTAAATTTCAAAAATGAATCACAAGGGGGTATCTTTCCCCTCTTTTGACAGCACCATGAACACCCATAAACATAATAAATCTAATCAATCAAACCTTGTTCCAATATTGTGAATGGCTTTTAAAATTACAGATAACAAGAGTGGTACACTCCCCCCCCCAGAAAAACACACATCTATTTTACTTCTTCTTTAATGTGATGTTTGATAGGCACCTGTAAATTATCTGTGTAGCAAATATCCATACAAAGAAAGTTTCAATTAAGATAAGGAGATTGTATTGAAACAGTTCTTTGAAGTAATGCAGTTAATAGCCTGTTTGATTTCTGCTTGTGAGAGAGTAATAACGTGGATTCAGGCTCCATCAATCACAGAGCAGATGTAAGACTTGAGACACCGACACCCAGGGGAATAGAGGCAAACTCCTGCAGTGCAGGGTCCCTGGGCTAATGTAAAGTAAATACTCATAAACAGATTGAATGTTGTAAGAAGACAATCCATTCAAGACAGTTATAATCATGAAACCAACTGCTTTATTTATCTATATAAAAAACAAGCTTGTAGCTGAGGCTAGCTGTGTATAAAAGAGGAGGAGATGGCTGGGAGGGGCAGTATCTGTTTATACGACCCACTATTTCTGGGTTCTTTCTTGTGCAACACAGAGTAACCTATATCCACACATCTATATTCCTGCTGCTTTATTAGCCCCAAACCCAGTTCTCTGTTTTAAGTAATCTGATATATTTACAAGGTAAAAAAAAAAATCACTCTCACTCCTCAAATGGGTGGGGGAGCAGAGACACATTATTCAGTGTCTGTGAATCGCTTCATAAAGGATCAGAAGGATTAAGTTAGTTGCAAAAACCAGCAGTGACATAATTAGGCAGCTTGGACTATAATAAACAAGGATCATAAAAAAAAAGTACAGTTTGAAGAAAGAAGGCCACCATTTCGAAAATGCAAATCTCTGCGAATCCTTGGGTCTCCCTTCCCCCCAATTTGCAAAAGACAACTGAAGCATTTTTGACCTTGGCTACAATAATACTTCATGTTTTAGCACTTTAGTCAGCATTTTATCTACTAATTGCTACACACTACCGCATGTGGCTCGAATCTGCCACTGCAGCTTTCTTTCATTGGTGAGCCAATTGCTTGATAAAGACTGGGAATTCAACCTGGCTGCTTCCTTTCTTGTTGCCCTCATTGCCGCCCCCTTCCCCCCCCCCTTTCCTCTTCCAGCTAGACGCTAATTTTTCTGGAAAATATTACATGGATCCGAAACAGGGATGGGAAATAGTTCTCTTAGGTCGTCTGTCCACGGACTAAAGCTAGGGCCACTTCGACGATCCCATGGCAAAAGGGAAGGGAGAGAGTGGGGCCGCGGGAAATAAGTGGGGGTGAAGCGGGAAGGGGGGAGGGGAAGGAGGATCCTGGCGGGTATCCCGGTGGTCTGGGTGCTAGGTGATGCTGGGCTTTGGTCTTTGGCTGCCCTGTGGCTAGATGGAAGTCCGAGGGGACTCTGCACTGCCCACCTGGCATCACACTCCCCTCTTTCTTGGTGAAGAAGTAGGGTTCTGGGGGGGGTCATCCTAGAGTGCGCAGAATCAAAAGTGGAATAAAAAAGCCACGAGAGTCAGCACCGCCAGGCTCCCCCCCCCCACACACACCCTGCCCCCCCAACCCCAGGCCTGGCGCCATCGTGATCCGTGGGGTGGGTGGTGATGTTAAGTAGGCGGCCTCCCGCAGAGCAGGCTCGCCTAGTCTCAGTGCAACAAGTCTATTGGTTTGAAGGAGGATAAACCGGGTTATTCGGGTCATTGCTTTCCAGGAGACCTCTAGTGGTCAAAGGTTGAGCTACATCTTAAATTTGGGGCCTGTTTGTCCTGGGCTGTGGTGGGGGTGGGGTGGGACCCTAAACCCAGGTCTCAGCAGTAAAGGCTGGCAGCTTCTTGAAGGGTTGAGGATGCGGATAGAGTCCTCATGGACTTGGAGGCAGACCCTAGGTGAAATAGGGAACTTGAATAAAGCGATCTCCTAGGAAGTGGTCATGCGATGCCCTTTGTGGGCACTGGTCCTCTGCCCCCACTACTGTTAGAAACTTGCTGCCTTATCTCAATTTTCCATCATTCTGAGATTCATCAAATATTCTCAGGGAAGTTGGATCAAATTTGCCCAAGTCATTTCCAGTGACAATAGCCATACCGAGTCTATATCTTCTTTTTCTCATTTGCCAATTAAAAGA